GGGCTCATCGGCGACCGCCGCCTGGGCTTCCTCTTCGAGAACGTCGTCATGGAGCCCAAGGACGCGGCGGTGGTGTCCGAGGCCCTGGGGGTAGAACCGTTCGTCGCCTGTGCGTCGGACTTCGGCTGGATATCGCGCCCGCGGCTCTGGTGGATGTCGCCGGCGGTGACGACCATGTCGATCGACCCGGCAGAGGGACGGCAGCTCCAGTGGAGCAAGCAGGGGTCGTTCCGGCGACTCAGGCTAGAGTCGCCACGGGCACCGTCGGAGGACATGGAAGCGGATGGCCTTTTCTTCCACGAGGCGGTGACGTCGGGCCGGCTACGGCTGCCGTGTGCCACCACGCCGGCGGAAGATGAGCAGGGGCGGCCGGCGCCCAAACGAGTCCGGCAGAAACTGCCCGAGCCGGCCAAGGCGCGGTGGGCGGCCGATGGCCGTCGCTTTGCCCCCTGGCACTACGTCGAGGAGGCGATGATGCACGATGCCGCCGGCCGCTTGCACATCATCCCCCCGGCGTCCAAGGAGAAGCTGCACATGCTGCCCCCCGGCTACACGGCGGCCGACTTCCTCGACGACCGGGCCCGGCACAAGATGCTGGCCAACGGTTGGCATTGGGGTGTGGCGCGCCGGCTGCTGGCCATGCTGGTGGTGTTGACCGCAGCAGGCCCAGCGCAGGCGACACCGGCGCCGGAGCCCAGGCGCTCCACGATGCAGTGGATGGTCGAACAGTTTGGCGGCGGCCCGGTGCCCATGGAGCCGCCGCCACGCCTGCGACCGGACCTGGCACTGCCTGATGACGACCCGGACACGCACTGGCGCCTGGCGGGTCAACTGGTACACTGCACCGTGGCACGCCGGCCGAACTTGGAGCCGGCGCTCGAACGGGTGCTGGAGCTGTGGACGCATTGGCGCCACGAGGTCACCCGGCTGAGGCGGGAGGTGCTGGTCGAGCTGGCGCAGCTGGTCCTGGACATGCAGGACACCACGGAGGAGTGGTTGGCGTCACGGTCGGCGCCCGTCAGGTCCACATACACGGTTCCCGGCAAGGCCCGGCACACGCAGATCCCCGTCGTGCTGCATCTCCTGACGATGGTCGGTTACCCGGACGTGGCAGGCATGACGGCGGACCTCACGGACGGCTTTGACATGTTGGGCGAGCTCCGGCGTGGACCTGGCTGGAAGCCGCGGACAGACGGCCGATACTCCAACCCGGCGTCGCTCGACACCTTGGCGTCGGTGAATTGGGGATACGTCAGGGACCGCGCGTCGAGGCCCAGGACTGACGAGTACACTGAGAAACTCCTGGCGGAACTGGTGGACGAGACCCGACTCGGTCGCGTCGTTGGGCCCACCCGGCCCCCGGTGGGCTGGAACATTTCGACAGTCCCGTTGGTCGACGTGGCCGGCGCCGACCGGCTGGTACCGCCACCACCGGGCAGGCACTTCGCGGCGGCGTCGTTCCCCATCATCCAGGAGGACGAGAACGGCGCCACCAAGGTTCGAAGAGGCGAAGATTGGCGTCGGGC